TAATATGTAAAGAAAATATACATATTTTTTCATTCTGTATTTTGAAAAAATTTAAAGCCGTTATCATTATAATATCATTTTCAATGTTACCGATTCAGTATAGAATAAGATTACAACATTAGTGGTTGGAATTAAAACTAAATTTATAATAAAATTAGATGAAGAATAAAAAATATATCGAGTAATAGATCTATCTTATATCATATTTATGGTTGAATTTTCGTTGTGTACTAAATCGGTAATGTTGAAAATGATACGAAAATGGTAATGAATTAAAGCCTTCAAGTGCGAGAAATTTATTATTTATTTTTTCTGTCAATTTCCAATTTATTTATAATAATCGATTGATATGATACATTTTATTTGTAATATCATTAATTTTTTTTTTATTTGAATATTCAGTTTCTTATCAATAGTATATGTTCATTAGAATTATTAACCTTTTTTCAATGACTACAATTTTAATTTTATTTTAATTGTTATCATAAAAAAAGAAAGAAAAGAAAACTTAATTCAAATTTCACGTTATGTTAAAATAAATCATCATCATTAAAAGAAATCATTTTTTTATTAAAATATTCCAAATATTTTCAATTCAAGATGAATGTACATATCAAATACAGTAATCTTAATTATATTGATATTACATTTAGTAGTATCCATGATAAAATGATATATATAAGAAAACTGAAACAAAAAATTTACAAAGAATGTGATAACTTTGTTTATATGTTTGAATATAAAAAATGAAATTGGCATATTAAAATAATTAATATATACAAAATACATTAAACGGAAGGTAAAATCGACGATGGAGAGGAGAGCTTATAGTCTCTCTACATTTGCCGGAGTAAACCATTCTTGAACTGATGTTAGAGTTCGCGGGCAGATCGCGGGAACAACCGTACTGGACAACGTTATAAGAGTGGCAGATCACACAATTATGAGAATATACCGATTTTATAATAAAATCGATCGTGTTGAACTCACTGCGAGTTTTTTCTGGTTTCAATGGTAGACGTGCTATTGTACATAGTGGCATGCTTGTCGACATGGAGAACCTGATATATCTCGATAAACCGGAGTCGTAAGTATCAAATTTGCTGCTTCATACGTTTAATCGGGCCAATACAAGAATTGTGAGAATGTAATCTGTATAGAAAACATTTAATTATAAATAAAAATTCATTTTAATCATTTAAAATTTGATTATTCAAGAAAATTTTATGAAAAAAATTTAAAGATTTTTATTCCTTATTATTTTGTATAATTAAAATTTTCCGCAATCAATTATTTAATAATATAAATACAGGAATGAATAAATTTTCGTTGCAAAATTTTATAAATTTAAATAACTTTTATCATGATTTTTTATATTTACTTTCAATAAAATTAATTTAATATTTCATTAATATATAGTTGTATTAAATAGAAAGAAAAATTATTATAATTTAAATTTTTTTAATATAATATATTACGATATTTATATTATTAAATATATTTTATAATTTTTTTTATGATATTCATAATATAATGGTTTCAAATATAATTTTATAATAGAATTTTAATAAAATAGAATTGAAACTTTACTATATTTTTTTTAGAATTATCGATATAACTACTTAATTTTAATTACGTTCACAAGATTCAATAAGATTTTTATCGCTAGAAATGCATTAAAATTAACACGCGTGTAAATGGTAGTAATCGATAGATTTGTAATATCATTTGTGCAGAGAAGTTATTATATATACTTCGTATTACAAATATTTATTTCAATGAATTCGAAATAGATATCAAATTTTTTTCATTTTTTTTCAGTCAACATTCACGTTATTATCATTGGAAATTCTGCAAAATTAATACTTAAATCAAATGAATGCACCGAATAATTATTTTAAATTATCGAAAAAATCGTGCCAATTAATAAAATAATTAAATAATGCAATAAATAGAGTGAGTAATATTGTTTGTTTTCTGTTCGATTAAATAATTATAGTAATCATGAAAAAAAAAGTAGTATTGATAGTGCATGCTATCGCAGATCGACGTTCGTGGTAACAAAACAAGATGATGTCAGGAGGTGATAGGACTTCGCCAAGAAAACGGGTAGACAACTGGATCTGCGTCAACATGTTGTTGTTATTTCCTTGGAAATTATGCGAGAAAAATTGCATGGGGTAAGAAACATTTATGTATTTGTTATTTCTTGATTAATTATACTTGTTTATCTTATATATTATTAATATTCAAATTTTGATAAAATATTGATTATATATTAAACTACAGGAAAAAGTTAAATTGATATTGATTATGAAATTCATTTAATGATTTATTTAAATTTATTTCATGAATCATATTATTGATAAATATATGTTATCACAGCGAGAGGAATTAGAATTATCATACACTAATTATAACAAAATTTAAAAATAGTAAACAGTAACTATTTATAATATAAGAAAGTATTATATTTAAGTATTGATATAAAAAATTTGATATTGATAATTTTCAAAAATATAAGAGAAAATAATTTATGTTTATTAAAATTTGTAATAAATTTATCGATTCGTTAAGTACAAAATTTGAAAAAAAAGAAATATTAATTTTTACAAATTTTTTTAAGAATAATTTTTATAAAAGATTCGAATGTTATTTCAAAAGATAAAAATTAAAAAATATAAAAATATTAGATAAAATATTAGATAAATCGTTATATTACATTGATTTTCTCTTGAGTACTTTCCATCGATTGTGATATCGTTATATAAGATAAGTTTGTTCATAACTTTTTCACCCTATTCCATCGTTATATTTTGTCATGGTCCATCGAATTAGTAGAATATTACTATCAAATATAATCGGATAAATTTTTATTAATATTTTTATAACATAGAAAGAAAACAATTTTTAAATTTTCTTAATTGTCATAAATACATCTTGACCATTTTTGCAAATAACAATTCTTATATTTTCATGAAATATTTAATCTACAATAAATATTTAAATATTCAATTTATAATAATATTTATATTAGTTAAATATGTACATTTAATAAAAAGTAATATATAATTAAATTAATAAATTAATATTATCTTAATATTATTTTAATATTAATTTAATTTTATTAAATTAATAAAATTAAATTAATAAAATTAAATTAATATTAGAATGAAAGAAGAATAAATAATATGATAAAATATTTAAATAATGATGATATGATAATAATTTAAATAATAAATTTAAATAATTCTTCTGATGCATTAATTTCTTTATATATATATATATGTATATGTATATGTGCGTAATGAAGTTGTTAAAGTAAGAGTTACATATAAATTGGAGAAAAGTTTCATGGAAAGTTAGAGAAACTTATTCATCGTGTTTATTCTTTCAATAATGATTTTTCTTTCATTTTGATAATAACAGATTGCTATACATATGTATATAAGTATATTCAATAAGATATGTAGATATGTAATATGTTACTAAGAGACTTTTCCTTTACTCATTTTATGGGAAGAAGCAATACAACAAAACATTACTTTCAATTACTTCGGTTTCACTGATTTTTTAAATTGAACTGCTTTCTCTCATTATACATCATGAATAGATTTTACAGTTATTTGCCTGCATAATTATATTATCTATGTTATGGAAGATCATCTTTTTGATTTTATTTCAAAGTTAAATAATGATAATGTAATTGAATTGAAGAAAATATTATTTAAATGTAATTATAAATTTTCATGTCATATTTGAAATATTAGACAAAATTTTAATTTTAACTTTTAATTTCAATCATTTTCTTTAATACATTTAATTTAGAACACTTAAATTAAGATTATCAAATTAAAAAATATTTTATATCTGCAATTATAAAGTAAAAATAAGTTTGCATGATTATTATATATATATATATATATATATAATATTAATGAATTAAAATATTAATATTGAAAAGTCAATTATATTTTAACATTAGAAAAATGATATACAACTTACATTAAATTTATCTTCTTTGTCCTTATACATGAAATATGAGTATTTTTATAAAGTAAAATATTCTCTTCAGCCTCGTATCGTGAATTATTCATAAAAATCAGATCGTATTTGTGATACATGGCATAACTTTATTTGTTCTCAATGGCATTTACAGAGATTTACACAAATCTCTAATTCCAAGGGGAAACATAGTACAATTGAATCTCGAATCTCGAAGAGAAAAAAATTTAAAATCTCAAAATAATCAAAGATAACATCAATTATTCAATTATACAATCTCAATTAATATTTATTCGAAATTCGAAAATTACAAAAATCACTCTCAAAAATAATAAAAATTTTGAAATTTTTACAAAAGTTTTGAAAGAGATTTAAACGAAAAAATAGAAATAGATGTAAATCTAAAATAGAGAATTAAACGGTGGCTTAGTTCAGTTTTCAACAATTAAACACAATCGATTGGCACCGGTTATCAGGAAACCGTCATGGTTCCATATTTGTGCACTACTTATTGTCCGATAATAAAAATGGTAATCTTGGGTTATCGGGAACTGGCTACATTTACGATAATTAAAATGGACAAAGATACAACTGAGTCAACTGGAAGACAGTTTCTGCCGATATCGCGACAGTTCCATATGACATTAGGGAAAATTAATACAGATCATCGTCTTTTACTGTAATTGCATACATAGAGCAAGGTTAGTGATACTTTGTGAACAATCTCTGAGAAATTAATAATAGACTGCTGTTTCCTTACTTTTTTTTAGAACATGACTGTCTTTTATTAAATTTATAAAATTATTTTAATTATCTTATACAGAGAATATTGGAGAATTATAGTAATGTAAGTCATAATTATTATGAATTATTATTTATATTTATAAATTAATATTTAAGATTAATATATTGCTATGATTCTCAGATCTTCAATGAAATAAGAAAAATTTAAAAATTCTAATAAGTCTTTTTTATTAAAAGAATAATTTTAATATTATTTATAATAAATTATGATAAATATGATAATATAATAAAATAATGGAGTAGAAATTATCAATTAAAAATAACAATAAACAAGAAAGTTGTAACTTGCAAACAATTGATTGTGAGTAAGAAAAAATAAAACTTAAAATTTTATTGTCTTTTAGTGTCAAATAGAACTGATCAGGTTTAATATATTCAACAATATATTAAACAAAAAGTAACAAAATTATATATTATATAATACACAACTTAATTTCTTTATTTAATTTTGTAACTTTTTATTTAACAGTAATTTTTAAAATAGCGTTTGTTTAAAAAATGGCAAAAACAATTTTTTTTCATACGATTTGAAATGTCTGTTTCATTTGTTTCTTTAAATCACATTAAAATATCTGAATCTTTCTTTTTATAGATAAAAAAATTACTAAAAATGATGATAAGTATATTATAAAGAAGAAAAAAATTATTTTTTGGAAATATATATTATTGCACTTGTTAATGAATACGTTTGGATGATAAGATATTGTATAAATAAGTTTCATAACATTCATTAATTGAATTTCAAGATAATTATTTTTCTATATAGTTTATTTTAATATTTTACATTTATATTTGTAATTTTTTCTCTGTCTCATATTAATAAAAACATTTCTTATAATTTAATTTAATATTTCTTATAATTTAATAATATTTTATAATATTTATAACAATGATTTTTTTTTAAAATAGTCATATTTTTCATATAAAAATATGACTATTTTGAAACTTTTTAATAATATATATATTTATGAAATAATGATATATATTTCTTTGATTATTGAATAGGTCAATGAAACTATATCTTACTTCTCTCACTTTTATTTCTTTGATTACTGAATAGGTCAATAAAACTATATCTTACTTCTCTCACTTTTATTTCTTTGATTATTGAATAAGTCAATAAAAATATATCTTACTTTTCTCACTTTTACAAATATTTGTCTTGATATACAATGAAAATAAGAAATTTAAACAGAAAAAAAAAAGTTTGTCTTTAGAGTTAACAAGCTAATACGAGCTTATAATTCAATGTAACTGTATTAAGATGACAATCATGATAGGAGAAGCGGATATATTTTAGAGTTCAAAAGCTATTACCGCGACCGGATGTGTGCAACTAACTCTCTGATGACCCTCGCATTTACCACACGTATCTTTGATGAGAGTGTAAATAGGTATATGTTTTGAAGCTTGTTACAGAATCATGTTATTTCAATGTATATCTTTGATGTTCGATAAAATATAAAATAAATATCGTGACCAATTGAGACATCTTTGATGGTCGAAAAATGATCTCGATTAACTGATAAAAAGATAACTGAAGAAAATTATCTTATTCGAGTGTTACTAGATGATGTAAATAATAATAGGAAAATTTTATATAAAAATTAAAAGTGGAACACTCGAAACTTCAAAACATATCGAAAAAAAATTTTTCGAATTTTCGAATTTGGAAAAAATATAAATAAATATTCTAAATTTAAAAAATTTTTAACATTTCAAAAATTTCATAAAATTTAAAAATATTTCGATTCATTTCTAATAAAAAAAATTATAAATACGTAAAAATCATAAAGCTCTATATTTTTTTTTTGGATTCGATAAAAAAATTATTCTATTTATTCAATTCTTCGCAGCTCTTGAATAAATATTTCAGTAAATATATAATAATTTTCACGCGTAATAGATATACGGATATAGAGATTACTTTTGGTATCGAAGGTCGACATGTAAATGATTTATCAATACTCCCTGATTATACATGGAAACTTGGGAAAAATAACTTCCGACAATCCGTAATCCAAACATTCCTCCTTTAGACGTGTCACTGATGCTAAACACTCGTCAAAATTTTACGTCATTTCAGCGAATTTTACCGTTATTTATGTTTATGAGTCAGATAAATATATTAAAGTCATCTTATTGTTAAGTATTATTCGAAATAATTATAAAAGTTTCAGTAATTAATCAGTAATGGATTAGAAATAAACGATATGATAAAAAATCAATAATAATATTCGAATTATTTAATCAAGAAACAAAAAAATTAATATAACATAACATAATGAATATTATTTGAATAGATATTAATGAATAAAAAACTTATTTGGATGAATCATATTTATTTATATATTTATATATTTATTTATATATTTATTATATATTTATATATTTATATAAATTTATACATTTAAAATTATTTATTTTTATAATTATAAAAAATTGATTTAATATTTCGAAGCAATTTATTTCTAGAAATCGTAAATCTTTTTTTGATTTCTTATTAAATCTATATTATAAAAAAGTTAATACATCATAATAAATCATAAAGAATTGTCAAAAAAAACTAAAAATAAGAATAATAATTCAATGGACCTCTACCCATCTCGTCATTCAAGCTTATTCATATCCCATGCAGATACAATCTTGTTAAAAAATTTTAAGATTTTTTATTTATTATATTTGCAAAAACAAAATAAATCATTAATAGATACTATAGAAAATAAAGAAGTTTATAGTATAAATAAAGAAAGATTGAAAATTTTACTAAGAAATGCACTCAATTAAAATTTTTTATTTATATTTTATCAAATAATAAAATTTATAAAAAAATTGATTAAATATAATATATAATAATAATAACACAAGTTTTATATGATAACTTTTTAAAAATTTTTTAAGTAGAAGTTTATATTATTTTTCATTAATCAGCATAAATGTGTAAAGTATACATATTAATTTCATTCTCAATACAATTATTATAATTTATTACTAAAATATATAACTACATATTTATTAATTGCTTTTATAAAACTATTATAAAGTATATTATTCATTAAAGATAACTATTATAATATATTGTATTCTTAATTATAATTTATTACAAAATAATGAGAGTTATTATTTATTATAAAAAGAAATTATGTTGTAAATCATAATTAAAAAATTGATATTTTATTACAGTAATAATTTTTAATCTTCAACTTATAATTAATTAATAAAATTTTATATTTGAATTATATATTCAAATACTTATGGGTGGGAATGTACAGAGAAGGAGGGACCAAAAATTCTTAATTTATAACCTCTCTTCTTAAAATACTAATCCTTCGAATAATATCTTCAAGAATACGTCATCTCATAATATATATATCATAGAAATAATTTCCAGGATGACTATTTATATTTTACAAATAATGCATTTTCTATTCCATCTTTTGTATTGTATATATGAATATATACAGTAGTAAAAGTAAAAGTTAGACAATACACGATCTATGGTGTAAGTGTTTGCTATTCATACTTACTACTGAAAAAGATTATCCTTTACGCACTCAGAAATATTTATTTTTACTTCAGTCTTCTTTTCTTTTATTCACTATCCTTTTCTATGTTCGATACAAAGGGAACTCCAAGCTTCAGTCGAGCCATATTGGGATCAAATTTCGACTCAACTATTCCATTAGTACCTCGTTTAACTCTCGATTTTCATATCAATTCAATGAGAATTTGAAAGTTTTTGAATAATTTGAAGGTATTTTTTAATTTTTTTTACATTAAAATTTATAAAGAATTAATTATTAATTAATTTTTTTATGAATTCATTACTTTTTTCTTTTAAAACAAAATTAATTGCTACAAAATATAATGAATTATTATTTTACTTACATATTTCTAACTTTTTATAATGTAGAAACATAATATTTTTAATATTTATAACTCTTTATTTTATCATTATCTTTAATGAAGTCTCTGATTACCATATGATTAATTATTATTTCCTTGCACTTTCTAGCACTCATAATTCTTTATTTTATCATTATCTTCAGTAAAGTCTTTTGTTAACATATGAGTAATCATTATTTCCTTGCATTTTTTATGATTCTACAACTAGAATAATATTTTGATAAAATATTTTCTAGAATATATTTTTAAAGAAAATTATACATATAATAAATAAAAACTTAAATTTTATCATAAAAATAATATCTCTTTTTTTAAATTTCTTTTTTAAAAAATATAAAAAACTAATTAATTACATTGATAAACATTTCTTGAGGGAGATACAATAACTGGGCTCTTATCTTATACTTATACTTAATTCACAACAGGGTTCCATCAAAATCTATCGTTCTTTTTTCATTCTCTCGTCTTTCTTACTTCGAGCTGAAGAAAAAAGCAATAAGCAGCTCGTTGAAACAGGAACACACAGTGGTTCTTTCCGTTCGAGCCCGTTATCATGGTGGAGCGTGGATGACGGATATAGCGCGTTACAGAGGCACAACAAGTTGCATGGTTCGAGGGGACAGAAGCGGAGGAGACCTCTATTGGCTCGATTGAAGGCTAAGTGACGGTAAATAGTACGGTGTAACATGTCGTATGTATACATTTCGAATTAAAATTTTGTTGCGATTTTTGAAGTGAGCTGATTATAAAAATGTTTCTCGGAATATTCACTACCGGTAAACCACGTGGCCTTAGTGATAATCATCCGGTGCACCGTTGTTTTTCTTCATAGTATCAAGTGTGTGACAACCACATCCGTTGATTCGTCGGCAATTGTGATAGATATGAAGAATCAAGTGATATTTCGTTATGTTTTGTGTATTAATGTGAGATAATTTCATTTATTATAGTTTGAAATGTGATCATCGTATAGAATATATTCTAATAGATCGAATAATCGAATTATTGAATTGCAATATTTTCTGTGTTAATATGAAATAATTCTATTCGTTAGTAGCTTGAGATCACTATCGTAATATATTTATTTTGAAAATTGTGATAGATAGTTACTTTTGAGTTATTAGTGAAACATTCTTAATATGAAATAATTTTATTGATTAATAAGATAATCTTAAAAACATAATCGTAGTGTAGCTATTTCATGAATTACGATAAATATATATATATTTGGTGTTTAATATAAACAATTAAACAATCAAGTGATTTTGTTTGAAAGTTTTATATGTAATGAAAAAATTCTTAATTTCAAGCAATTAATTAATTAATATCTTAGAAAAATTAATATTTTAATGATTAGAAATAATGTGATAGATAAATATTTTTGGCATTTAGTTCGGGCGATTAAACAATCGAACGATCGAAAACTTCATTTTAAAATTTTGCATATAATCAATGAAAAATTATTTAATTTATCATCGTAAGTGTATTATTTTATTTATTAATAGTGAATAAATTAGCCATTGTAAAATGCACTCATATGAAAATTTCTAATTCCATATTGTCAAGTTGAATCTGATATTTATCAGATCAGATCTACTGATAATTTAGATTTATGTACAAATTTTTTTACGTAAAAAAGCAAATTTCTGATTAATCAAACTAATATTGAAATAGTTCATTATAATTTTTAGTGTTTTATGATTCACAATTTGAGAAAATTAACTGAGAAGTATATATGTACACGGTTTGTTACTAGATTTTAATGCCTAATATAACGATAAATTTTATGACAAGTTTTATAATAAATCGGTGAAACACAGTTTTTATTATTGTTCACTATGCGATAGTATCGTGACTGACTAACATCACGTGTTAATATGAGTCTATTACGTCAACTATACTTTGTTTGGATGTTGAATTTATTTGATCGGCTTCTAAGAGTTGTTTGAGCTCGTTACGTGATATAATTTCCTTGTTATGTGCAACTTTGTATATGTGTATCTTCGGAAAGTAATAATGCCATTATTTTTTAATTATAGATAATATATTGGATAAATAATAAATTGAAAGAAATAATAAATAATTTTAACAATTGAAAAATGAAATAGTTTAATTAATATCATATTTTTTTAAATTTTTAAAATTTTAAAATTTTTAAATTCTAAATTAGAAAATAGAATAATTATCTTTTTCTAACTTTAATAATTTATTCCTCAATTATTCATTCGCAGTTTATATTAATTAAAAAACTATTTCAAATTAATAACCAAATTTCTTCGAAGAAACTTTTAAATTAATTCTAAATTTCATTTTTTTATGAGAAGAAAATAAAAAAAAAAAGTTAGAGTAGAAAAAGACAATGGTAAAAAAAGATAAAAAGATAACGATCTCTCAGCAGATGGAACCATGGTGGTCTTCTGCGTATATACATATACATATATAGCTGTGTGATATGTTGTACGACAAAATAGGAACGTTCACTTGCATGGTTTTGCTGCAGGGTCATGGCTGTGAAAGAATGGTTCAGAAGACTACAGCCGGTCCAGTTGTACCTGGTCCTGTTCTTCACCACCGCTTTCTTCCTCGTCGAGATAGTCGCTAGCCATGTGACTCATTCACTGACATTGCTACTCAACGCTTATCATATGCTGTGCAACATTATTGCACTTGTCGGCTGTATCGCATCAATCAAGGTAAGTTTCAAATAAAAATTGTAAGCATGTATAAATTTCATTTTTTAGTAATTTTTATAAAAAATAGCAAGTTTTATATAAGTTAATAATAAGTTTATATTATGTATAAAAATTATAAGTTGAAGATATTTAAATTCTTTTCCTTTTATATGTATAATTGTAAAAAATATATTAATATATGTATAGTATTATTATATTTTTGGATTTTTAGCAAAACATGATATTTATTTGGATCAAGTGAGAGGTAATTATAAAATGATTATTATCACTTTGAACATTTTTCTTTTGTTTTTATCACTTGTTTTAATTTTTTTTATCGTATCGAATATTTGTTTAATAATTTTTATATCTTTTTTTTTTATTTTTATTCATCAAATTTCATAAATTCATTGTATTTCATATTGAATTAAATTGATGCATTAGAAATATGTTATTTTGTTATTAGTAAAAAAAAATGAAATACAGAAAAGAATTTCAAGGAAGCTGATAAGTTTATCCATAAAAGATTTAAATACAATCTTTTTTGTTATCTATCTATCTATCTATATATCTATATATATATATCTATATATATATATCATTAGGATTACCTTCAAAGTTCTTTGCTTGAAAAACTTCCTTAATGATATGAAAACTAACATAACGTCAAATTTAAAATTCATTCTTTAAAATGATTTCCAAAAAAAAATGTGAAATTTTTATTTTTTTTTATATTGCATTCTTATTCTCTCTTCTAGATAATGTAGCCATTAATAAATCATTTTCATACAAAATATTATTCTTTTATTCGATTTAAACTCATACATTATTGTAATCGTAGTTAACACGATTACAATTGATTCAAATTTAAATTTAAAAAAAGAAGTGATTAATATATAATATTAATAGTATTAAAATAATATTTTAATTATATGATATTATAATTCTTATTACTAATTATGATATATCTTATAAATCATCATTATTATTATTTTTAACATCATTAATGTCATATTTTTATTCTGATTATTTGGTTTTTCTTTCAATTGCAAAGTTAAATTTTAAATAGAAATTATATAATAAATTTTTATGTAAATATTTAGATAAAGAATAGATAAGAAAGAATAATTAAAACAATATTTAAAATTAAATTAATTGTTTTTATTTATAATATAATATCATTTATTTATGACTTATTAATTAGTCTTATTCAAGTAAGTACTAGCATATTTCTTTTTTGTAGTATAGTCATCGTCAAAATGGTTACAATGATAACAGCACTTCTAGTTCGTTACGAAATTCTGTTATTTGTATAAATGGCGATGAACGAGGTTCTTCCACATCTCTATCAACAAAAACTAAGGTAATAATAAAATGATTCGAATATTTATTTTCTTTTCGATTAACAAATTATTAAATCAATTATTTTATTTTTTAGAATTTTAACAATCTTATATCGAAATTCTAATTTATTTTAATTATCAATCAATTATAATTTATTATAAAAGATTTAAGATATTTCTAAGGAAGATTTAAAAAGAAATTAACTAACTTAATCTGAATCTAAATCAAACACAATTCAAATTTAATTCAAACTTATTTCAAATTCATCCTAAATTTACTCAAATCTATTCCAATTAAAACTTTGATATGTAATATTAAAAATATTTTTGCATATATCTTTGAAACTAAAATTCATTGACAATTATATTTAAGCATTAAAAAAAATGATGATAATATTTATACAAAATATTTTAAATTAGTGAAATATTTTTTAATAATTTTTAATAAATGAAAAAATTATTTTTTTTAGCAATCACGATCGGATAGGCGAATGAAAAACACTTTCGGTTGGGCGAGGATAGATATAGTCACGATGCTCGTCTGCTGCGTATTTCTAGCATCCTTCTGTTTTTCCTTACTGGTTGAAGCTATGCAGACTTTGGTACACATAGACCACTTGGACGAAATGCACCATCCTCTGCCTGTTCTTACAATTGGTGCATCTGGAATCCTCCTCAATGCGTTTTGTTATATATTAATTGGAGGATATACCTTTAATCAAGGTATTGTTCTTCACGTCACAATGAATGGAGATGTGATATTACGAAGGTAATCAACGTTACAGATACAGTAGAATTTCTTGTATCTAAATATAATATATGAAAAATAATATTTGATTATTTAATATTTAAAACAATTTTTAAAGTTCAATAAATAAATTATTTATCTATTTTTGATTTCATTAGATTCAATGATTATTTTATAAGTGGATATTTTATTCTCATCTAGTTTAAAATCAGATAAAACATATCTGAAATATTAAGATATAGATTTACTTATTTTTAAAAATTTAGACGAAATATAGAAAATTTAAACCAAAATCAAAAAATAATCATTATTGTATTCTGATAATTTAAACAAAGTATTTTCAAAAGTTAAAATATACAATTATCTATTCTTGAAAATAAAAGATAAAATATAAAAGACTTTCAAAACTAAGATACATATTTATCTATTTTCTAGAAATGTTAATTCACAGCAAACGAAAGTGGGTGAACAACAGTTATCTTCGCAAACCAGACGAAGTCCTTTGGGCATACCAAAGAGCCAAGGACTTCGAGAAACATGTCGTGATGCTTTGGGCTGTGTTTTCGTTATCTTGGTATCTATTCTAGTATATTTCACCGATTCTGGCGTAGCCAAATATATCGATCCACTTTTCGCTATTATTTCTTCCATTTCACTCTTCGCCCTTAGTTATTCATATAGTAAGTATTTTCGTATAATTTTAATTTAATCTTTTATTTGAATTATAGATTATTTTTATATAATATTTTCAACTTACGATATTCTTGATATTTTTTCTAATTATTATCTATATATATATAATTCTAATATTGTTAGTATATAATGCTCATTATATTATTTTTATCATTTATGAAAATTTTTATTTCATTATAGTGAAAGAATCAGGTTTGATATTGCTTCAAACTATTCCTAATCATATAAACATCGATTCTCTTAAAAGAGAATTGCTAGAAGCTTTCCCTGGGATTGTGAATGTCCATGATTTACACGTATGGCAATTAACGGGACAAAAAATAATATCGACAGTTCACATCATATTCTTGGACCCAATGGTAAATATCTTCTTTTTGGCGAATGTATCTAATAAAAAATAACGTTAATTGGATTGCAAATATTTTTTTATATAGGTATATACCAGTATTACTGATCAAGTAACAGCATTTTTTATAGAAATGGGAATAACTCAAGTTACGATACAGCCGGAATTCCATAAGGTATGTAAAAAAATTTAATTTATAAATATCATGATAAATAAATAATGAAAGAAATAAATAAGAAATAATTAAAAATGACATAAAATATAAATATATATATATATATAAATTGATTATATTTATATAATCAATTTAATTTATAATATTATATTATATAAGTATTAATAATATTATAAGTATAATTAATAATATATTTATGTAAGTATTATATATTTTATACAGAGTGAATCATAACTTAAAATAAATTATAAATAAAT